TAATACTAGCTGCTGGAACAACTTTAAGAAGATTCGGTAAAAGCCCTTTATAGAATCCTCTCATTCCTTCTTTCTGATACGTTCTCATGAACACATCAGACATCCCTTTATACCCAGTCGATCCACCTGGCGCTTGAGCCTGCATCCTATAACCACAGTATCAGAACACAACACAGACTCCAACATATACAGAATGTCAGATAAAAGCAAATGCAAAGTTACCTTGTTCTGACAACCTGCAACGGGTACACAAAAGTGGCTCCTAGAGCCCCGGAAACTGTCCCACAACCTAATTGTACCAAAGGCCCAGGTTCTGCATCATAAAATTAACCAAAGATTCATCATTATCATGTCAAAATAGGGTGTGAGTTGTGTGTAATTGAGATGAAATATTGATAATTTATATTCATACCACTGTCTTCAAGAATGTATGTTCTTGACATTTCTTTCAAAGTCTCATAAGCAGCTAAATCAATTCCAGCATAAGGAATAATTCCGAAAAGAGAAGGTACAATTCCTCTGTAAAAAGCTCGAGGTCCTTCATGAACCCATATGTCCTTTGAAAGCTTTCCCAAACTAGGAACTTTTGTGTTTTCAGAAGCGAAAGTTTGTAACCGGGTTTTGACTAAATCCATTGGATAAATCGCTGTTTGTGCAACAGCTCCGGCCATACCGCCGGCGAGAAGACGACCGGACGTTCCGATATCGCCCTGACCTTCTTCCCCTCCGATGAAGTTCTTCAACATTTCGTAAGTGTAAAACTTTATAGCGCTTTCAGGGGCGACTTTAACAACGTTTAGTCCATTACCTCTGAAGAAAGATAAAACCCCACCTTCTTTCCATATGTTCTTGACTGCGGATGCAATTGATGCGTTTGAGGTTTGGACTTGGAGGAGGACTTTTAGGCGATCAAGAGGAGCGGTGGCTGTACGGGAAGCAGCTCCGGCAACCCCACCTGCGATCAGGTACTTGCTGGCGGGAACATGTTTGTTCATGCCTGCCGGAATTACAGGTTGTTCTCCGATGTCTACAAGATAAACTCTTTCCCAGTATTGGTAAATGTTCTCGATAGTTGCTTCGTGGGGATAGAGAAGAAGAAAGTCTCTCCATTCTTCGAAAGTTATGATGCCATTGTTGTCCTTGTCAACTCGCTCCACGAAGCTTGCTAGTTCGTCATCGTCAAGTTCTATCCCTGCAAAAGAAAAGCTGCCATGGCTAATAAGAGGAAGACAACTCGAAGGGTGTTTGAATTTGTTCTTGTTGATTACAGAATTATGAACTTCATGGAAAAATGGAAGTAAATTGCAGAGAAGATAAAAGGGGGAAGTATGGTAGAATACCAGCCTTAACGAGAGCATCATAAAGTTCTTCCGGCAAAATGCAACCATTATGTTCGACATCAATGGCTTGGAAAATACGATAAAGCTCAAGCTCCTTGTCATCCATGTACCTTCTGAACTCCTGATAATCAACTCTCCCATCCCTATTTGCATCGCAAACCCTAAGTAACTCTTTCGCGTACTTGTAATCCGCCGGAATTTGCATCGCCGATAGCCCTACCTCGATCTGCACAGAATCCAAGTACCCTGCGTTTGATGTATCGAAGAAATTAAACAACCCCCGAAATCGTGATTCTCTCTCGTCTTTTGTCTCTCTCAAAGCCAATAACACATGTTCGATTGTCACCGGTCCCTGCTCCTTGACAGGATTACAGCATCCCGCCGGTAAGTCCCTGGCGGAAGATGGACGCCGGTGGTGATCTCCGACATGCTTAATCGCAGATGATGCCATCAAAGAAATAAACCCTCAATTACTCGAAAACATATCCCAAAATTGCTATAAGGGAAAAGATCTATATGTGGAATTAGGTTCCAAGAAATCAAAACGCATACAGTAGATATAATATTGGAAGATTCTTTGAAAGTTAACCGATAACTTGACCCAATCGATTCAAAGTAAGGGCTCAATCTTTCCGGGTCAAAATTGTGGAGCTTTTGTTAATGGCGCATGAGAGAGGCCAGGGGGTTAAAGTGAGTGGGGTGGAAAGACCCGATAATACAGGGTGTATGTTGAAATCGTTCAAAGAAACCTCCACACACACACATCAGTGCGTGTGAGAGAGAAAAAGCGAGAAATGGGGGAAACGAAGGTGACGATTGTTAGAGTAAATTATACTACGCGTTATCTGTGTGTGCGAAATTTTTGATCAAGAATCTTTTATGGAAAGGAGATTTTTATTTTTAATTCACGAAAAATATTTTTGAGAGGGGATTTTGTTATAAATAATGTTATATTTTAGAGGTTACAAAACCATGGTATATTCCATTATTCGTATGTTTATACTTTATGCCAATGGTTGTTGTATCACAAGATTGAAAGATGTATTTATAAAAACATACTTAATCTTAACTTATATCATATTGACATACTTCGTAACAATATCAAGATATACATAAATATGCATTTGTAACGAAATGCAAAACGAGTTTATTTTTGTGTGCCACGTATATGTGTTTTTGGTAGGGATGACAAATCGGACAATCATATCGTCTTTTTGTATGACATAACATGGCATTGATTTAATACGAATATGACACAATTAAAAACGACAAGCAAAACACGACACGACAAAGATAACATAAAATAACAATTAGTGTATTTAATTAATACTTAATCATACATAACACGACAACAAATCTTAAATCGTATATATTTCGTGTCGAATTTTGAACATGAACATTACATGACACGACATATTATTTTTATACTTGACACGAACACGACACAAACGCAAATTTGAATTTCAGTTTTGTTTCAATTTCGATTCGTGTTGTTTATTTTTGTCGTGTTATATCATCAATTGTTACCCCTATTATTTGACCATATATTTCGGATGCCAAAAAGACTAATAGAAAAAACTCAAAAAAAACTTCAGATTTCTTTTATGTGAGTGATTTTCATCAACTTTGACATAAAAATGTTAAAAAAATCACCGTCTTTATTTTTTAATATTCAAACAAGAATATTATTAATAATGAATACAAATTATTCTATTCGTAATATTTAAATAAAATATCATTAACATTTTAAAAAATTTAAAAATTGTAATATTATGATAAAAATATTATAAATACTTTTATAAATAATATTATATTTAAAGTATCTCGTCTAAGTGAATTTAGAAATACTTTAAAATTAAATTAGATTTATTGTTCCCAAAAAAAAGAAAGTGAGTCATACATACATATTTACCATTCATTTAGTATCCTTAAACTTCATTTGTTTTTATATTCCTTACCCATAAATTAATTTTTATCTCATGGTTTTCACTTTTCACTTCTCATAATTTTTTAAGTTATTAGTATTTTATAAATTATAATTTTCGTCTTTTATTACATTTTAAATTTATGCTTTTGGCCTTTTACATAATTTATTATAGTTTTTGTTTTTATTAATATTACATTTTATTATTTAAATTAATTGTTATTTATGTATTATACCAATCAATATACTCTTTCAAATCTTATTTTTGTATGTCTTCTTCCTAAATAGTTGTGTCGATCAACTTTATTTTATATTTTTATAGTTTCTGCCGTAACGTGCTGGACGATGGAATTTAATATCAAATATTCTTTTAAAGCTTTTCAAATATTTATGTTTTTTATCCTCAAAATTTGTCTAAAAATACGTCTTTTGGACATTGGTAGGCATTTGGACACCTAATTTTGGTGCGGAAAATATATAACTCATTTAGATTATTTTTTGTGGATTCTAAGATCATCAAACTTTTATTTAGTGTTTCAATTATTTAAAAAAGTATTTTGATGTTGCCTTGTTCGATATTATTATCTTTTAAAGACATTGACGCAATACCTTTTTTATTCCTTAATACTATTCTCCTTTATTTGTAAAATTAATTTTTTTTTATCTCTATGTTAATTTGTTGAATCTGGTGCTATAAATATGTGAATTAAAAAGAAAATGAAAAAAGTTTGAGATTTAAAAAGATATTTTAATATCATGAAAATGATAGTATTGTTTGGACCACGTCGAACCCATTTCAGAACAAGTTTCGAACCTTAAAACCTAAAATCACTTTTATTAAATGAAACAGCTCAACTACTAAGCTCCGTTAAGCTCTATATTCTAATATGACGATGTGGAAATAAATATACAACTCATTTAGATTGTTCTTTTTTTTTTTGGGGGGGATTTTAAGATCATCAAACTTTTATTTATTGTTTGAATCATTTAAAAAGGTATTTTGATGTTGCCTTTTGCTGGATATTATTATATTTTAAAGACATTAACATTGTACCCTTCTTATTCCTTAATACTATTCTCCTTTATTTGTAAATTAATATTTTTTAGCTCTATGTTAATTTTATGAATCGTGTGCTATACATATGTCCGAATTTCTTTTTTTTTTAAACAAAGAAACCTTTTTTTTTTTTGGAGATTTAAATAAATATTTTAATATCATGAAATGGCAAATTTCACTTTTTGGACGGTCCACGTCGAACCGGTCCCGAAACAAGTTTTTAAACGTTAAACTTGAACCTCTTTTATTAAGGCTCCATCACAGGACCATGTTATAATATGATTTGTAATAGAATAAAGACAAAGTAGAAATTAAAAGAAGAAATGAAGATATATTATATGATGTGAAAAACATATATAAACGAATAACCTCATCGTACATTTTTTCGTTTATCATTTACTTATTCACTCGATTTCACATGATTGTTTTCTAAATTTTAATTATTAGCATAATGTCATCCATTTTCTTTGTTTGTTTTGAAGCTGCTTTGAGAGACATCACGAACAATTTCATTCCATTTCAGCGTAAGCTAAATTAATTTACTTTTCTTAAGTTCTATTCTAATGAACATGGTTTTAAAGTACACAATTGGTCCACCAAACAAACATGTGGTGTGATTGGTGAACTATAATATTCCACAAACTATACTAAACTATATTTTAATATTTTATTAAATCATAGCTTGTCACTTTTTCTATATGATACTTGTCATGCCACCCATATATATTACAAAAGCATTCTTTCTCCTATCACACATGATTACAGCGACAAAAGTTAAAAACTCAACTTTATTTCGTATGCAACACATCCTTATATTTTTTTTTCACATATTCATTTAAGTAAAACATATAGTTTCACCAAATACCAACCAACACAGTTTATGTTGAAGTTGAAATAGAATGGTAGCCATCTTCACTTTGCCTTTGTCTCCTATAAGAAACAACAACAGCTGCAAAAATTGCAAATCCAAACACAGCTACACCCCAAAAGAAGATTGGTACTACCGAATCTTGATTAATCTGAAAACCACACCCAAGATAGCAACATACTTACATTATTTACCATGTATAGTAACATACTTAAAGGGCTTTTTTGGGATTTAGAAAATCTTACTTGAACTGAAGCATCCAAAGTAGAAGAAGACTCAGCAACAAGAATATAAAAGAGTCCCATAACTCCCGTATGGCTCTTTTCACTGCTGTAATTAGACTCCAAAGTTAAAACTTCATCTTTGGTTATCTTTATAGACCCTGGTTTAGGGTAACATGTGGTCATTCCTACGATATATCCAGCTTCATTTCCTGCTTCATTTCCTTCCCCATATATAGCTCTAGATGAGCAAATCACACGTCCATCCTGAATAAAGTTCATAAATTTTCATCTTTTTACACAAATCCAGATTAAAAAAAATAAACAACACCCAACTCCAAAAAGTTGAAATATTCACCTCTCCATATAAAGCAGAACCTATTCCACCACTATGCAGATGTGCAGAACCATAGACAACATCACCAGAAATTGGGAAATTCACTTTTGATCTTCTGGTGCTGGTGAAGTCATTAGTTGTAATTCCATTTTCATTTTTTTCAACATTAAACTCAATCTGTAAGATTCAAAATTTTAGTAAAAAGGTGTAACGTTTTGGAGAAATTTTATGTATAAAGATGAAGGGTTGAATTAAGTTACGACTTACCAAGCAATCATGGATTCCAGTGTTCTCCCAAGTATCAGTGACATCAAAGATATAGATATTAACAGGTATTATGGAGTCACTCCAATCAACCCACTCAACAGTGTACTTTAGGTAAAGGTTTCTTTTCACACTTTGAACCCCGTTTTTCACTTTGCATTGTGTTCCATCATAGCAACAGAATAAACCTCCCACATAATCTGGTTTCAAAGGTCGACCATATTCATCCTTTGTCACATTATACAAGTTACATCTGCATTCAGTACATCCCATTGCATCAACTGCACCTCGAGTGTCAATTGCATGGACATTGAACAACCATTTCTCTTCATATCCATTGGGAACTTGAAGTGGATTACCCACTTCGATTCCATAAGTATCAGGAACATGTGTATCTGTCTTTCGTGTTTCAGATCCCAAACCAAAAAATTGGGTAAGACCTTTACTGCATACTCCAGCATTCCTAGCAATAACGAAATCTGATTGGTGGAATCCCAGATTACCATTATATTTTGCTTCTTTTATACCCTTACGTTGGTAGTATCTTACTGCAACCCAATGGTGGAGATAAGTTTCTTGAAGGGAAACAGGATTCCCTTCTTCATCAACAACTTCGGCATTGAAACTCTTTATAGCAATATGACCTTTTGGGAACTCGATATCGTAGTAGAATTTGTTTGAAACGGATCCCGGATGTTGAGTTATTTTAGGTGATAAATACACCTTTGATTTAACCCCGTTTTCAAGTGTTACACGACCTACTGATTGTAGAGCGCATATTGACAATAAAGATAGAGCTAAAACGAACAGAAGACCTTGAGTACCAGCTAACATCGTTCTGAAAAAGAAATTGGGAAACTTTTTGATAATGAATTCAAATAACATCATTTAAGATTTCATATGTTTGCTACGAAGATTGATTTGGTTCTATAATATATATATAAACATCCAAGAATCATTTTGATAAGCAGTAGCGGTGCGGATTCTACAAAGTAATAGTCAGCGGTGGACTCGATTTTGTGAAGTTCACATGATCAAAAGATTAAGCAAGAATACTGAATACCCACAAATATTTTTGATTAAAGAACCCTTCAAACTAACAAAATTGTGCAGAAAATTGTGAAGAAGGAAAGAAAAGAAATTCATACCCAAGAATAGTAGTCAATGAAAGCCTCTAAACTTTACGACCTGACGACAACCTTCTGGAGATTACAGAGACGAAGGAGTGGCTCGTAACTGTCGGGTTTATAAGAAACGAGAGGATGATGGCAGCGCTTACGCCACTGGTGTGAATGTTTGATTTCTATTTGATAGGATAGGGAGGGTAGTCGACGACGAAACAAGACAAAGAAATTAACTGAAAATGGAACGTGGCTTTGAAGTGGGGGTGGGGAGAAGATAATAGCCAAACAAATTGTAGATCTTTGTGTTTGTTCGTTTCTGAATTGATTCGTGTAATTAAATCGTGTGTAATTTTAACACCACCAAGATTAGATAGGGGTGGTAGTGGGTGCCGTTTATGTATCAAAGAACGAACAAAAATAAGATTTCTTTATTTATTTGAATAAATAAATTAATCTATGTCATTCAAATTCAAATTAATTTATTTATTTGTTTTCTTCTTCCCATATCCTTTTTTCTTTATTTTGTTTAAACTCCATTTGAAGTTTATTGTCTATATGAGTCAATCCAACCGTTTTTGGTATTCAGAAATGATGAATAATTGTGTCAATGTTGTACATTACAGGGAAAAGAAATGTGTTCTTAATTTGATGGTTAATGCGCTGAAACTGTGTTGTCAATTTAAGTGAAAGTTGTATATTTAAAGATAAAATAAAAGTTTTGTAAATTTTGATATTTTTGAATTGTGTTATGAACATAAATGTGTTTGAAGTGTGTTTTTGAAAGAAAAAATGAGATAAATGTGTTTGAATGGTGTTATGAACGTAAATGTGTTTGAAGTGTGTTTTTAAAAGAAAGAATGAGATTAAATATTAAATTTTAATGGGTTATGTTCTTATAGATGAAATAATACAAGACATAACAGAAATATATATATATATATATATATATATATATATATATATATATATATATATAGAGGTATGTTCAAATGTTTCTAGCAACTATTGTGTGTCTAAATGTATCAATGAGAATTCAAAAAATAATAAATAATTAAATAAATCATTAAAGGGTATTTTGGACTTTTTGTAATTTTAATTAAGGAAATCATTTAATTGAAATATTGCAATTAAGGAAATTAAGTTTTGATTTCTTTTTCTTTGACTATTTAGGCGTCGACCGCCTCAAATCTCTCGACTCGCACCTTCAGATCACAAAGAAGGCCGGAGAAAACGAAGCTCACAGGCGGCCATCATCGACCTTGTAGACAGATGCAGGTGAGTCTTCCAACCACCGTCTCCGATCAATACCATCACCCACCACCAAGCTACCATCGCCCCCATCGACCTTATACTGTTTGACTTTTTCTAGGTTTTCCGATTCAGATTTACAGAGAGAAAATGGTGAGAGCGCCATGCTGCGAGAAGACAGGATTGAAGCGAGGACCATGGGCACAGGAAAAAGACGACCTTCTGATCGATTACATCAACAAAAACGGCCATGGAAGCTGGTGATCTCTCCCAAAACTCGCTGGTACGTATCTCGATCTTCGTTTTTTCTATCTTCTCGATCGGAGTTCATACCATTTCTTTTTGTTGTTGATTTGTTGCGGATTTGATGTCCACCATGAAATCAACGCGATAAAGTTTAGGAAAATCTAGTACGATTTTGATTCATAGTTAATGTGTTTCACACCAATTGCTCAGTTTGACTTTATATTCTTGGAATTTTGCACTGTAATTCACAAATTAGATGCTGATCTTAAATGTGTTTCACACCAATTGCTCAGTTTGTAGTGGGACTGCTTCAGGGTAACCCCAGTAAACTAAATTCGAAAGTTTTGATATGTTTGACTTTGTTCTACTTCTTGTTACTTTTGGCTTCTTCATATTTGTCGGTTTTTGCTACTGAGTTAATTTGACTGGACTCTAATATATAATGGGTTTAACCAAAAATTGGGATTGGAAGTTGGAACTGTGTAAAATCTACTCAATTTGAAGTGGAATCACTTAAGGGTAAAAGCTCAAATCTTGAATTCTTGTAGTTCAAGAATGCTGATTTCTCTATTTCCATTGGTATTTACTTTTGTTGGTCTGTGGTTTTCTGTTTGTACTTTTTGCTTTACCAAATGAATGTTAACCTGAAAATTCTAATGAGGGCAATATTCTTTTAGAATAAAGAGGGCTTTAGTTTGAAGAAGGCTACTATTCTTTCAGAATGAAGAAGGAAAATATTCTTTACATGTAATCCTACAAATTGATCAGACCTAGACAACCAAAAAAGGCAGGGAAGCTTTAATTTTAGTCTTTTACAAAGATTGTTCTTTAAGAATGAACTCGAATTTTATTCTTTATTTTTTTTTTCATATCAGAATGCAAACACAAGTGTATCACTACAAATTCCTTGGCAATAGAAATTGCTTGAAGACCTGATGGGAAAGGATTGAAGAATGAATTAAAGAATGACCACACTTATTGTTTAAGAATGTTGTTATTTTTTAAGAATTATACTTGTTATTCTTTTAGAATGTTTGTTATTATTCAATGAATCACAATCATATAATGTAATTATTTGGTATATTATTAGTTCAAGAATCGATTTTGTGTATTCTTTCAGAATGTATTTACTACTTTATAGTTGACATTCTGTCATTCTGACAGAATAAAATCGAAAAATATATTTATTAGTTTATGGTTAAAATTCTATCATTCTGACAGAATAAAATCGGATTTTTAATTTTAAATTAATTTAAAATATTAAGATTTTTAAAAATATAGGAATTAATTATCCCTAAAAATCCGAAAATTTCCTTTTTGAATATAGGTTAATTGACTAAAATGCCCTTATGCTCAAATTTGTGTGATTATATGGTACATGTTATCATATTCTACTATCATAGACCATCAGATCATGACATTTGATTATATTCCATCCAATGGTCCAGATCTGTGTATTTTGGCACACAGTAGTTACTAAAAACAAAATAACCTAACCCTATATATATATATATAATATATATATATATATATATATATATATATATATATATAAAAGAACAATAAGTTTTGCAATAAAAGAGTTATTTTTTATGGTTATTCTTCACACTAATGATCAAGAATTGTGTTGCGATAAAAAAAACGAAAAAACAAAACAATAAGTTGACTATATTATTGGTTGGTGTAAATTAATTCAAATGATGCTTATTAAAATACCCTATAACATTCTTATCTTTTTTTAAGAATCGTGGTTTGAAAAGTTTCCATATATATAAGATATTTTAAAAATCATAGATTTACAAGGTCATAAAAAGATATTCCTTATTTTAAACTCTTTTGAATTCAATTTCTTCTATTTATTTATTTATTTGTGTGTAAATGGTGTCGTGAATTACATTTGTAAATTCATGTTGAAGGTAATATCATTTATTATGATTTGATTCAATTCTTTTTTTCCCTAAAAGATATTATAATTAAATACAATACAAACAACAATTATTACTTTGAGCCAAATAAACGAATAGTTTTTAACACTTTTATGAAAATTGGCTACCATCATTTGAATTTCATTCTTGGATAAAAAAAACATTAATATTTGTTTTTCAATTATTGTGTTATTGTAATTTAATTCATATAAATGCTATTAATTTTTTTGAATACAAAACAATAGATGTACATAATTTAATTTGTAATAACTCATTTTAAGATTTTTGGTATATTATTTAGTTAAAAAAGTTAGAAGATTCTATTAGTCATTTAATTTACTAAACACAATTTTAATATTTTAATCATACTTTTTTAAGTCTTATAAGTATCAATTAAGTGTGATGAATGAAAAAACCTGGTTTCTTTTTAAATAACATTTAATTGGAATTTGAAAAGTTGGAATATTAAAATAGAATTTCAATGCAATCATTAATTTTTTATTATATCAATCTGGTTAAAAATATATATTTTAATTGCTCTTACCAATACTCACTTAAATAATCACCATTTATATAATAACTTATATATTTATACAAAATTCCGTATATAAATAATACACACAGAATACAGACGCACATAATTAATTTTTTAAACTTGTGCAACGCACGGGTATTTGCCAAGTTATTAGTAAAGACAAAGATACGTCTTTACTTTTTTTTATTGTGCTCATTTTTTAAAACAATTCATTAAGATTTTTGTATCATAGTTTGTAAACTAAGATATTATTTAGACATAGGGGCTGTATAGTAGCCTCTTAATTGAAAATTTAAGGGACATACTCTTACTTTTCTAGATTAAAAAAACATTTTTTTAGAACGGCGGGTTAATATATGTTTGGGATAGAACTCAGGACCTCCTTGTTAGTAACTTATCATTAGTTTTTCAGAGGTGAAGGCATGTCCGAATTGAAATTTTTTTTCTACATATTTTTTTGACGAACAAAATAAATGAATCACTAGATGATTCATTTGTAAGATGATTCACAAGAAAAAATTCCCAAAAAAATATCTTTATGATTCATTTTTAAGTAAATTAAGAAAAAATTCATTTTTATGACAATTTTAGTGAATAACAACAAAATCATTGTATAAATGAATCATCGAGATGTTTTTTTGAGAATTTTTTCTTGTGAATCATCTTACAAATGAATCATCTAATGATTCATTTTGTTTGTTCGTCAAAAAAATATGTAGAAAAAAAACTTCTTACCTTCCTACCAAAAATCTCCTTCTTATTTGATCTTGACTCTCTCTCTCTCTCTCTCTCTCTCTCTCTCTCTCTATATATATATATATATATATATATATATATATATATATATATATATATATATATATATATGAATGTCCCAATATCGCCCTAAAATATTTTCCCTTTTCTCTTTCCCCTTCACACGACATTGGCCATGTCTCCCTCCCACCGTCTCTCCGATCTACAACCATCCGCCACCAACCGGTCATCGCCTCCGCTAGCAACGTTGCCCTTGCCAGCGACGTCGCCTTCGTCAACAACGTCATCAATGATTTTTTCACCTTTTCTTATGCCTGCTCCACCACCCCTCTAACACACATCATATTCAGGTAAACAAAAAATCAAACCAACATTTAACGATTTATTAGAGAATTTGGAGGGGATTCTCATGCACGTTATTCATATGCCATTGATATTATATGTATTCATTTTGTCTCTCAAATCGAACCCACATGAACTAAAAATCGTACCCTTAAAACATCTTTGTGAATTTTTTTGTTCTTTTTGGTTGTCTTTGTTTGGATTATTGGTTTGATTAGAAGCTTACAAATTGCTTGTGGAATCTATGTTGAGTCATGAAACTTCATATACATTATTGGTTTGATTAGAATTGAAACTTCAAATGGATTATTGGTTTGATTAAAATCAATGTTGGTCTTGAAACTTGGTTTTAAAAATACGGTTACCATAGAGTGTGGTTTTATGTGATTATTTAATTTTATGTAAGCATAAACTTTTATACTTGAAAGAAACCAAATTCTTGAGAAGCCTTCAAGATTGGTTTAATTGGTTGAATATGTATTCCAAGGTCTATGACAAGAAAGGAATCCATATGAACACATATGTGTTACATACATATACACACAATTTTCTAATCCTCTCTTTATCCATTGTATTCTAATTTGTTTTAGTTTTATGATGATCAATTAAATTTTGAAGTCAATGAAAATACCTCCATTAATGATTGTATAATTTTCCATTGAACCTATTTGTTTCCTTGTTGAATTTGGATTTGCAGGTTGAAATGTTAGAAAAATAATAGAGGGGCTATTGAAGGGCATGTTTGATGTAATGATGGAGAAAGAGTATGGATGTATTTGTTTAGCTTGAAAGTCCACTTGTTGTTTTTCCCTGATCACTTTTTTTCTAATAGATTTACTAATCACAACAAGGTATTTTGTATGTTTTCATGGATTTGAAATTATTTATGTTTGATTTGGATTTGTGTTTAATTTGGATTTTGTATGGTGCTAATTGCAAGAAATAGCAATGTATTTTTATTGATTTTTCTATTATAGCATCATACTTTCACCTTTTTCTATTAGAGCATTGTATTTTATAAACATAAACATTAAATTCAGCAAAAAAAATACAAAGGGTAAAATTAACATTTTTAAAATTAAGCATAGCAAACATGTTAAAAATTCAGATCTTAAAAATTCAGACTCTTTTAGAAATTCATAACTCTTCATATTTTAGATCTTAAAAATTCATATCCTACTAAACAACCCCTTAATCATTGTTATTTATTTAAATTGTTTTATTAAACTAGGTTACAACCCGTGGAAACCACGGGTAAAAAATTTAGAAAAAAAATTATATTATTAATAAGAGTTAAGTTTGTTTAGCAATTGTTGTATTGATTATTTAAATTTAAAATTAATATTAATATAACTTTGTAAAAAAGATTATAAATTTGAATATATGTTAAAGAGAAACACAATTAATCCATGCAAAGGTAAATATGAAGATAACTAAAATAAATCTTTCAATATGTGAATGCTTTATGAAGTGTGAGGGGAAATCATTATTTTTTGATTTGAGTGAGCAATCAAGAAACACCATGTGGCATCTATTAAAGCCTGCAAATAAAATATTGAAACAAATTAAATATTATGGATTACAATGCTTTATAAAAAATAAAAAATAAAAAAAAATGAAAAAAAAAAGAAAAAAACACATTTGTTTGAATTTAAAAACTACAAAGCATTTATAAATTTCTAAAAACTTCCTTATACACAACATTGGAAGTTTTGTTTGTAAGTCTACCATCCTTATCTAAAATTAACAATTTCAATCCTTCTCTACTTTGAACTCTAGATAAGGCAACATACAACTGTCCATGTGAAAAAACAGGATCTTTGAGATACAGACCAACCTTTGATAACGACTGCCCCTGACTTTTATTAATTGTCATTGCAAAACATACAGCCAATGGAAATTGTCTTCTTTGAATTTGAAGGGAATTTTTTTTTCAGATGGACTTAAAGACATCCTTGGAATAAAGGTTTTATTTCCAATATTAGTTCCAGATATGATAATTGCCTCAATAACACGTTTGCCCAGAGATTTCACTTGTAGTCTAGTGCCGTTACATAAGCCATTTTTCTGATCAATGTTTCTTAGTAACATAACTGGAACACCGACCTTTAAAATTAACTTGTGATTTGGCAAACCTGATACTTTAAGACCATTTAAAATATCTGGGGAGTATAAATTGGGATCAAACTGATCATGAACAAACTCTGATTGGCAAAGACTATCTGAACTTAAATATTCTACTTCATCTCCGGGAAACAATGCTAACAAACGATCATTGATTTGTTGGACAACTTCATTTTTCGGAGCTAGTATAGCTCTTTCTTGAAAATAACTCGTAACGTTGAATTTTTCCAAGATTGAAGGATATACAAACTCAATTAATGAACCTATAGGATCATGTGGATCATTAATGAGAATATCATCCGGAACATCAATAATCGCTTCACCATCATTCGAACCACCAACTTTTCCTTCTCCTATATCCAAAAGCCAGTTTGCAAAATTATGTATTTTTCGAATATCAGATGGATCCCTTCCAACGGTTAGTCTCATGTTTATTGTTAATCTATGGACTTTGCATTGTTGCCATATATATGAAGAACTTAAAGAAGCATTAACGATATTTTGTCTACTACCTCCTTGAACAACAGGTAGAATCTGTCTGAAATCTCCTCCAAAAACAATCGCTTTCCCTCCAAATGGAATTTTTGAGTTGCTAGACTTATCGAACTTACATACATCTTTCAGAGCTCGATCTAAAGCTTCAAATGCATGCTTGTGGACCATAGGTGCTTCATCCTAAATAATCAATGAGCTTTTTCTTACTAATCTGTCGAGTTCGCTATCAGGCGGTATCTTACAAACAGAATCCTCCGTAAGATTCAACGGAATTATAAACCGAGAGTGTGCTGTCCTTCCTCCAGGCAATAATAACGATGCAATACCACTTGAAGCAACATTTAAAACTATATCACCATTACATCTAATTGCTGCAGATATTGTCTTCCAAAGAAATGTTTTGCCCGTTCCACCATATCCATACACAAAAAACACACCTCCTTTGTTCTCATTGACTGTATTCATTATATCAAGAAAAATATTGCGTTGCTCGTTTGTTAATGCATCAAACATACGATCAAACTCTTTCTTTAAAATCGGTATGTCATAGTCTAGCTCCTCCATGATAAGGCGATTTGTTGAAGAAGAAACTGTATCAGAATCAGGGTAAGGCATTTGTTTATAATTTTTAAGACTGGTGTTGTTACGAAGTAAAATCTGTTCGATCTCGAACAAAGTAAGGTTTTTAAGTTGATCCTCATTGAGTGATAAACCTGTAAAAAATGAACAATATCTCAAAAAGAATATAATATTAAACAGTTTATAATGGTAATAAAAAATTTATGCATATTGAAAATATATAATATCAATTTTTACAAATAATAATAGAAAATTATAATACCTGGAGACTTTAATCTACGTTATTGGTTGTAAAGAATACCATCCGACAAGTGTTGCCATGTATTTTCCCAAACAAACTCTGGTCTACCCAAACTGTTAGACATTAACATCGTAGCAAATAAGAAACGCAGATAAAAACCAGTTCCTGAATGACTTGCTTCCTTAATTGCATTGACGTATTCTTTGTCGTCATCTAAGAGGCCCAAAGCATAACATGCATCTCGAAAAGTAGGAAATTCTTCACCATTTACCGTACGAATTTCTTCAAATGATTTTGGACCTTTCACTTTATTTAAAAGAATCCGTAAGAAGTATATTTCGCCGAGTTTAGGTGAAACAGAGTGAATCCTTCCTATTGAACGTCCAATTTTCCTTGGCTTCCACAACCTATCATCAGGTTTCCAAACAAACTTTGTAGGAAATTCAACATATGTAAGTTTCCGTGCATCTTTATTAATTTTATTACATTCCATCCAAGATGTGAACATTGAAGCAACAACTGAAGGTTGTTCAAGAACATTGTCAATATCATCGTCTGCAGCATATATGACTTGTTGTTGATCAGGAAGATGAAAAGGTAGTCGCATCACAGAAGGATATCGGTAATGAACATCATATTTAAATATTCGCCATGATGCTTCACATGCAGATATATATCTACAATCATAATAATCATTTATTTCATCCACAACCTTTTCTTGATGAGAATCAGTGTTGATGTCAACAACAATTGTAGCTCTATCTGGACCTTTGTTTATATATTTAAACAAATACTTTATGGAAGATCCCTGATTGCACCATTCAACATTAATGTGTGCCTGATATCTTTTCAACAGATATTTGTTATATGGAACAACATTTCTGTTGTCTAACTTGACACCTGATTTTTCGACAAAATATCCTTTGTTTCTTCTCATATATAAGGGGTAACCGTTGACATCAACTGAAGAATGATTACAGAATTGCTTGGGAAAATTTTTCGAACATTGCTTGTCAACCATGCATGGGCAATTCATATTTTCAGCTCCACAAGGACCTTGTATCATGAATTCACTTACAAGTGAATACAACTCTGGATCTTCATTGATATTTGGAATCTCAGCGGAAATAATCGGATCAATATATTCAACAGTAGGCCGCTTTGAGTCAGCATGCATAAATAGACAAATATGACTATGTGGCAAACCTCTTTTTTGAAATTCAATTGTATAGACCACTGCAAAATTAATTTTACAAATAAGATATGATTTGTACTGGATGAAATATATTTGCAAATAATAAAAAATGTTAAGAAACGAAAAAATCATTATAAAAAAAATTTGTATTAAACAACTTTTAATACCTGCTTGAACGATGCCAAAAATTTTATTTTCCCGTATGTCTTTAATAAAAGCATCGAGCTTTATTTTGAATAACCTACATAAGATATCAGGTCTATCTTCTGGATGCAGTGAAGTGTTATGAAGAAACCTTTTAACTTCAGGCCATTTTGGATTACATGTAAAGGTTATAAAGAAATCAGGATATCCAAACCATTTACATAAGGACATGGCGTCAAGGTAGTTTTGCATCATATAACGTGCACCGCCAGTGAATGATGAAGGTAAGATAACACGTTGTCCGACGTTGGATATATCTTTATTCCCGAGGTCTTGTTGATTACGTAAATTCTCATAAGACTCGCATCTAAGAATTTGTTGTTTGCTCCTTATGAAATGTAATCTCTCGCTTTCGATCATAGTATAAGCATCTACCAAAAACTGTTGGAACAACCTTTTTGAATTAAGAATTAGTGAAAAATATTGATCCCTGTCCTGTATTCTATAAGAAAAAAATTCTCTCATTGTACAGTTGGGCCGCTTGCTGTTGCTTGAAGGTGTAATACCTCGATGTGGTATGTCAACCCTGTAACCATCATCACCATATGGAAACAGTAGTGGATACTGAAGAGGAAGGTATGATGGATGTAATTCACTAATACGCCGTAGAGAACCAGATGAAGTTTGAACAACAATATCTCTATTATCAATTGAATCACCAATATCTCCAACAATTAAAGCGGCAACCTCAGAAGCAGATGGTAGGTTGTATGTCCTTCCATCTTGGTCCCTTCTTCCAATAATTCTCAATTTGATATTAACATGAGGGTTTTCATGAAAACAATCTCTAACCATTCTATAAGACTGAACCAAGACATTATTTGAATCTAACATCAACTTCAAATCTTGTATAATATCATTATCAAGAACATAAGAATTTGATGTAGATCGTTGATTTTCTCCACTGCAAGTAAGATGAACATATAAACATAAGATAAATAAATAAAGTAATGCTGATGAATAAGATATCTATTAATGTGATAATTGTGAAAAGTGTACCCAAAACATGTTCGTCTATTTGCGATCTCATTATCAGTATCGTATATGTACAACTGAGAGAATTTTGGTTTAAATCCCTGTTCCGGTAAAAGGCTTCCGATACTATGATAATTTTAACCGCTAAGTCGAAAAATGTATGGAGCATTTCCTTTATTGATTGAGGAATCAATCTTGCCACCCATTGACGTAAAAGAAAACATAGAATTGTAAGAACGAATGTTCTTCATGAACTGTTTGCTTTTAGAATCTCCAGATCTAAAAAGATTTTCATAACTTGGAGGTGCATTCTTTAACTCCGGTAGTTCAACTTTTCCATAAGCACAACATAGAGAATAATTTTCATTCTCATTTTTTTTACATCTGACAGCTTCATCTTTCCATAATTTTGCAAAACATGTTTGGCATACGACAATCTGATCACCATGATCCAAATAATCTGTCAATTAATGTTGACAAAAAAAGTTATTCATGTAAGGTTTTATAATTGAAAATGATTGAATGAAGTAATTTTAATATTATATTTATAAATAAATTACCTTTTGATATACCTTCGTATATGTTTTGATTATTTTGGCAATCGTTGTTGTGTTGAACGGATCTCAGACCAATTATTGGAATAGGAGATACATTTGCCCTTTTTTTCTTACTTTTATGATTTAGGTTAGGTAACATGACTGAAGATGATCTTGATGTTATTCTAGATGATTTGTTTGATGTGTCACCATTCGAAAATACAACGTATTGTCTAATATTTGGTAACGGTGATTGAAAACTGTTATTGGAAATATCCATCGTTGCGGAAAAGAAGATTGAATATATGCATTGTTAAATATGATAGAATAATAATAATAATATAATAATATATATTATAAAAGCCAAAGGTAAAATAAATGAGTTACCATTGGAAATGTTAGATAACGGAGTTCTAACATTTAAAAGTGAATGAGGAGTTTGTAACATTGATTGTTTTGACATATCTGCAGTTGATTTAGATGCGTATATGTTATTATTTTGATGTACAACTCCTTTGAATTTGTGTGAAAAAAAAATAAATGTTTATGAGAAATGCATGAATATTTAATAATTTGTTTAATTTCATTTAAATATGAATATTGATAAAGAGATGATATAATAAAACGATGAAGTAATAAGTTTTATTTTATATATTAAAAGGAAACATAAAAAGTTTAAAAGCAATAAAGTATGTTACCGTTTGAATCCAATCTGATGTTTGGTAACGGTGTTTGAAAACTGTTATTGGAAATATCTATGACTGGGAAAAGAAGATTGAAGGTATACATTATTAAATATGATACAATAACATATATTATAAAATAAAATCGTAAGATATATGAGTTACCATTGGAGATGTTAGATAACGGAGTTCTAACATTTAAATGTGAAGGAGAAGTTTGTAACATTGGTTGTTTTGACATATACACACTTGCTGTAGATGTGGATACATTTTTATTTCGATGGACAACTCCTTTGAATTTGTCTGTAAAAAAATTATGTTATAAGAAATGGATAAATTATAATTAATATTGTAATTTTTTAAACAGCGTATGAATATTTAAAGGACTTCCGAATTATTCTATATTATATAAAAATTAAAAATTGAGGATGTAAAAATTATTATTTTAAATATTTAAAGGATATAAAAAAAGTGTAAAACAATGAAGTATGTTACCGTTTGAATCCAATCTGATGTTTGGTAACGATGATTGATGACTGTTATTGGAAATATCCATGACTGGGAAATGAAGATTGAAGGTATACATTATTAAATATGATACAATAACAATATATATTATAAAATAAAATGGTAATGTAAATGAGTTACCATTGGAAATGCTAGATAACGGAGTTCTAACATTTAAATGTGAAGGAGGATTTTGTAACATTGATTTTTTTGACATTTTTGCATTTGATGTAGATGCGGATACGTTTTTACTTCGTTGGACAACTCTTTTGAGTTTGTCTGGAAATTAAAGAGATGTTATAAGAAATAGATAAATTTGAAACAATAATTTAATTTTTTAAATAATATATGAATATTAATATTGATAAATCCTTATTATAAAATAAAAGCATGTCAGAATTTTTTTTACATATTTAAAGTATAGTAAAAAGTGTAAAAGAAATTAATTAGGTTACCGTTTCCCTTCATTTTTAAAAGATTTAATGTCGATGAAGTTGTATGGATTCATTCGGTCATACCTTTTTTTTTATTGTCCAAGTATAACTTTCTTATTCTTCTTTTTTCTCTAGCCTGAACATGATAGATATTCCTATTTGAATTTGCATAAGGGTTGATAAAATAAGTCGTAAAATATTTAATGAAGAGATTAAAATTAAAAACATTCATAAAAAAAGTCGTAAAATATTTAATGATCGTACCATTAGCACCTGGGTTACTCTCATTTGTAGAAGATGAAATTCGACCGACTGATGTAGTGTACATAGGTATTTGTTTTGTATTATCCAGATAAAAATTATTTATTTTTATCTTCTTATTAGTCTTAAAAACATCCATTTTAATGGTTAGTATCTGAAACATAAGAAAATTTATAAGTTTATATTCAAAAAAAGTATATAAAATATTATTTCTTCTTAAATAAAACTTAAATATATGATGAAAATAAAGTATATTCAAACAAAGCAAATAAAACAAAAAGACAAATATAATAATAAGAAAGAGAAACAGGAAGGGACAAATTATAAGTATGTTTAAATTGTCATATGCCGTTGGTGTTGCTCGAGACATTACAAAAAACAAAACTATGATCCATATTCATTCAACCACTTTACTAAAATATTCAATAAAACCTAAAAACACGAATAAAAGATGATTTCATTATTTGTTTAAGTCAAAACATAAAAACATGTCATCGAATTTGTTAGTTACTTATGCTTTTAGTTATCATATATACGATTAAGAAATACATATAATTTAACATTGAGAATTCATGTAGAAATATATTACTCATAAAATCAATTGAATAAAATAATAATAATAAAAATTCCAGCAGGCATCCTTTTGACTTTTTTTTAAATTTCCCCGTCGAATTTTTACCCCCTTCTTTTATTCCTCTCTTTCCCAACATAAGCGACTGCACCTCCATCACTCTGTACGACACTTGAATTCCCCATTTAATTCAATCTTCTCAAATCTCATTTCGCTTATCTCAGAAATAGAGAGAGAAAGTATTTGCTTAAATCAACATCGTCGATGAAGATAATGTCGGGAAATTTGGTTATTTTTTTCACTATCGGTGCTTTCCTAATCGCAATTACCGGCGCTGAAGATCCATACGGTATCAAAGAATGGAATGTCACATATGGCGATATCTATCGACTCGGTGTTCGTCAACAGGTCGATTTTTATCCAATCAATCACTAAGTTTACTCCAATCAACATTTTTTACGTTTGATTTCTCAGTTTTGTGTTAAAAAAAAACTTACTAAAAGTTTCATCTTAAAGGTAATATTTTGGTTATGGATATCACTATAACCATGTGAGAACAACACCGTAGTGAGACACATGCATTTTCAGATGTAGTTGATGGTTAATATTAAACAAAAATATCAACAGCAAGGGAGCAAATAAATGTCGCCATGTTCTGTCCATGACTGGGAAACAGGGGATTAAAAAAACATTTTAGTTCATAAAGAGAAATAGCAACAGTTAAGCAGTCACAAACACGCATACACATTAAGAAGAAGAAACAAAATTTGATTATGATTAACAGACGCATACACATTGAGAAGCAGAAACTGATTGGAAAAAAACAACACAGACATTAAAAAAACACAAGAAGAAAGAAAAGATAAAAAGCAATCTGAAAGTAGTTTTTTTATAAACTTACCGAAAGGAATGAATTCTGGGATTGACTGGACGAGTTTTGACTGTGATGATTTCAAACCTTGGAAAGAGGATGATGTAAAGGAATTATACAATGGTATGTTTGAATTTTATATAGTTTAGAATATGATAAAATTGACATAATAATTAAAAGTAAATGTAATTGACATTATTGATATGATACCTTATATATGAAATCAGATTTGATAATAAGATGCCCTTAATCTGCTATGTAATGAAATTGACTGTGATGATCGAAAACATTGATATGATTTTGATATGTTACCTTATATATGAAATCGGATTTCCATAATAAGATGCTGTATAATGTTGGTAAGGGCATTTTCGTCCTTTGTACATACCATTTATTTTTGTAATGTACTGTCTAAAAACATGTTTGTTTCTTTCTGTTATTGCATAAAGATATATGTATTGGCGAGGGCATTTTCGTTCTTTGAACTTACTTATAATATGTAAAAGAAAAGTGCAATGCATTTATATGTAATTTTTTCGAATTTTATTGCATATATTTTGTTAATAAAAGTCTTTAATAACATAATGTTTATAATTTCAGTATACTGCTTCTCCTAGAGTCTCTGATATTTTACTTTGTTTCTATATGCATAATGTTTATTATTTCAGATAAAGTTAAGCATTGCTGGAAAGGATACTGTTAAGGAGGATGATTTTGATGAATTGACTTCCAATTCCATAGTTACAGATTATGATATATCAAGCATGTCAGGTTTAGAAAATGAAGCATAAGATTTTTATGCCTCTATCCAATGGAGAAACGATTTCATTCTGGAAGTGCTTGCTTCTTGGTGAGTCTGAGAAAATTATGTTTGAACATGATTTACATGAGTTTACAAAGGACGATAATACCCCTTGTGTTATAGTGAAGGAAATGACTGAGAGACTGTTGAATGCGATCCATGTAGCTATGTCCCACCCGTTTTAGAGTTATGTTGCTTGCTACTGGTGGGCATTTTGTTGGTTGTGTTTTTGATGGAAACTCCATTGTTGCCCACAAAACATTCCACAGGTCTGTTCTTTATCTATCTTATCACTTTAATTTTATCAGAAAAATTATTTATGAGCTTAAAATTAATACATCCTTGCCCAGAACTAAAAATATACCTTATTAGTATCCATGATTGTAAATACAGGTCATGTAATTTAATTGCATATAATATCCTTATTTGTATATGCTTGAAAAGAATTAATCCTTGTCAACACCACCATCATTAAATAATTAGTATATTGCTAATAAGACCCTTTAAAAACATATTTGTTTCCTTCTTTTACACCATAAATAGACAGACATATATGCCACACATATATTAAAAGAAGATTAGTCTAATTACAATGATAACCCTAAAAGCATAATCGTATTAAGATAGAGAATAGCAGCGAAAATAAAGCAAGAAGTATCAGTGTTTGAATAGTGGACACCACAAAGAGCAATACTGTGAAAGAGAATAAAAAAAAAACCAAATTCAAGAACATTGTTGATTCAAAAACGACAATCTGAAATTACTTTTCAATCTTTGGTATTAATAGACCTGTGTTGCCATCAACTTTGGAATTCAATCGAGGGACCTTGGTAGACGAATTCACGTTATCATACTCATCAACATCAATGGTATCTCCAGCGTTTCGTTTTTTTACCATTGTTGGCGAATTATACTTGAACGGACTTGTAGCTTCAAATTTGTCAGGCATTGAAGGGGTCAAATTATCACCTGTCTGTGAGATCGCATCCTTAAAACAAAATGTTGTAAATAGCTTTAGTACTAAAATATTAACAAAAAATACTTTTTAAAATAGACTATATAAAATTAAATAATGTAGATTTATAATATAACCTTTAAGGACTTCGTTTCGTGAGATGCTTCATGAGATGCGATTTCTATATCATCAGCATTTGCAGGAGTACCTGCCTGATTCAGAAATTTAAATATTTATATAATTTGTGGGACATAGCTCTCAATCGATAGAGATTTACAATTAATTAGTGAAAATCATTAAAGAAAAGTATGGATCATAAAAAGTAATATTAAAAAAAGAAATAAAAATAATATATAAATACCTCGACAGCTAACTTTTTTTCCAAAGCATCGATAACGTTACTATCAACTGTATAGTCAAGTATCCCAAACCGATTGTAGTTATTGGAAACGTTAAAACTATTAACATCTACCTTAAAAGCCATCTTTTTATGCTCCAGACATTTGAGGTCATAAGGATACAATCTTGGATTATCCCCAGCCTGGAATAAATGTGTTATATAATATAGTTATGGTTAAAAGCACATTAATATAAAGAAAATCCAAAAAATAACAGCAATTAATAAAACAAATATTATAATTATGTTATACCTGTTTGATTTTCTCTATAAGATCACGTGCGCGTTTTTTGACAAGTCTATAAGCATCTCTATCAAAGAGAGTTAGAGTGATTGTTCCAGAATCATCTTGCACACGAATAGGTATTTTATACCTATAAAACATTCCCACATAAATAAATATTAAATATGTTTAATATTTAATAATGTAGTTAAGTTGTTCATTTGATATTTTCTTAAATGTAAAAAACCTTGGAACAGAAGAGATCTTCTTATTTATACACTTATCACCATAACATTTTACAACCACACTTGCATCACCACTATCTGGACCGCTGAACACATCTCTTGTTTCAACTTTCTTTCCACAGTTTGTACACGCATCATAATACCAATCAATATCTTGGCGAATACCATAAATGGTCCCAACAATGATATATTGGCCGACCTAAAAAAATATAAAATATCAAAAGGATCATAAAAAACAATACAATTAGATTATCTGTCAAATAGAAAACAATATCACATCAAGACAGTTAAAATATTCACATACCTCTTGTGGTTCTATCAAATCGACAACATTTTTAACTTCGTAATTATTCAAAAAGTCATCAGATTCCGAATATGATTGAGAGCTATCAACAGTCAAAGAAGAAGAAGGGTTTTGAATTCCTCGTAATCCAACCAAGCTGTTTTTAATTTAGGAGATTAAAAATAAAATTAGTAAAATTATTAAAAAGAAACAAAAAAAACGATGAATTATTAAAATAGTTTGTTACCTATCTGTGAAGGTAACAATTTCGGGAAGATTAACATTTATGAACATCCGTGTTTGTTCAAAATAACTGTTAACGGAAGGTGTTCCTGATGAAACAAAATAAAATAGTCAAAAGAATGAGTAATATAAAAGACTAAAATAAGGTTGCTTTGTATAAAAAATGTACCGTTATAGACATTAAGTTTTGCAAACTGCAAAAGGACAATCACACGACCAACTTGTTTATGAGCTTCAAGATAAGAAATCAATTGGTATGCAATATCTCCAAACAATGTCATGTTAACCTGCAAACCTCTGCAAAAATAATAATGGTTAAATGAATATATAATACTAAAATAACACATGCAAGTTGTAAAGTAATGAATGTAATATAAGATATAATATAAGAAAAGTTTTGGTTACTCTAAGTTTCTGATTTGTAAAGGTAGCCTATGTAGAGATTTGCTGACATCACGGGAATCAAGCTTTCCTAATGAAACAACTTCACCAATAATATCTACAAAATGATAATACAATATGTCAAAATGATGTAAAATTAAAGAATTAAATATAATATACAATCAAGAAGGGGGAAAAATTACCAATTGAGTCATTAGAGGTAGCTGTTGCAGAGATTATTGTTTCAAAAGAAACACAAGAAAAGCCATATGTTGTTTTCGATTGAAAGTGTAGACACTCATTAACAGTTGTTCTTCCGTGCAAATTTAACTTGGAGGTTACATCACTTATTTTAAAAGTGTATCTGTTAGGAGCGATAGTGGGGGACCGGATGTAAACAACATGATCTTCTTTCAGCTTGGACTCAAACCTTTGAAAATCTCTTGGATACACACTTGCTCGGATTTTTGTACACTATTCACACAGGATAAGAATATTATATAATGTTAAAAAGTGATATTCTAATAAATATAAATTGGTCAACATTGAAAATGTTATTCGACCATGAAAGATTTTGAATAATATTATTGGAATGATCAAATAAACAAAAAAATGATTTTGAATAATGCTATTGGAATAGTAGATTTTACCATTTCATCCATGAGTATCATCTCAATTGATTTGACATTAATGGGGTTGCCATCTGAAAGTGATTTCCACAGCCGGATGATAGACACTTTTATTGTGTAATCATCCTTCATGTTGTCCAAGTCTTTAATCAAAGTGATGTTTCTATCTGCCATTGTCACTATAACAGAAAAGTACACACAGAAATTATAAACAGAAATAAAATTACCATTATGTCCATGAAGTACTAATAATATAAGAACAAACTCAATAATGCAATATGGTTATATTCATTCATACAAAGAAAACAAAAACTGAAAGAAACATGCTAACAGAAACTATATACCCCTGTACATCATTCATAATTAAAAATAATAATGATAAGTGAAACAACAGGCTAACATAAACTATATACCCCTGTACATCATTCATAATTAAAAATAATAATGATAAGTGAAACAACAGGCTAACAGAAAGTATATACCCCTGTACATCATTCATAATTAAAAATAATAATGATAAGTGAAACAAATATATTAGAAATAGTAGAAGTCGATGTTGTTTTTCAAAAAATATATTAATAATAGTAATATGAATGATCAAGAAACATACAATTTACAAGAATGGCCAATTAGTGATCAAAAGTTATGGTGATAAGAATTTAGAATATGTCGTAACTGTGTTTGGCCCACTGAAAGGTGATGTTGATTTGTTGATACTTGCTTCCAATTTGGACTTAAAAAAGTTACTATAATTGTATCTTACTTGGTCTAATTGATGGATATGAATAATATGCACCTTGGTAGGCTCCATGGAATGATTTTTTAGTCTAAACCTATTTTTATTTGTAAAAGCATGAACACATGTATATTATGAGTTTTTATATTTTGAAGTTAATTAATAATTTTTGGCAGTTTCTAGATATTTGGTTGGTTTATCATTAGAAATAATTTTTCAACTTTGATAAAGTGATCATAATTCATAAATTGACTTTTGACTTTTGTCATTAAGAAACACATCGAATCGAAACAAATAATTTACACAAAGTACAATGCTTAAATATTTGATTGGTTTATCATTAAGAGTTCATTTTTGGAAACTAAAACTAAATTATGGCATTGTACTTAAAAAGTACAATGCTTAAATAAGAATAGTAGTTGAAGTGAGTTATAGTTGTAAGAGCAAAAAACAAAGTTTCACAGGGCAATGAAATTAGACATAAGAAGTAACAACAAACAGCCAACAATGTTACTTAGGATAATCTTGCGAAAAAAGACCAAAATGCCCTTTATCCAAAATAAAGACAAAAATAACATTTTCTTTTCTTTTTAACCCACCATTTGCACATATCACATTTTGGTAAAAGTAAAAACTTCATAATTTGCTAATAATATGATTATTATTAAGTAGTTTTTGACCAAGGGTTACATGTTGATTTTTAGTTAAAAGTAGTTTTCTGAGCAGGGGCAAAACAGTCACATTTGTTGCAATAAATTTTTTTTACAACACATAGTCACACAGAAAAAACATTGTACTTTGCTTTGTAAGAAATGTTAAAAATCATATTTTTATAAAGTACAATGCTAGTTTTCTGCATATTTTCTTAAGTTTTAATGTTAAATTTCATTTTTCTATAAAAGGACCAAAATGACCTTTATCCATAATATGACACTATCTACTATTCAAGAAAACATGTTTATGAATCTATCAATAGGGTTGCACACTTGAAAATTGGTGAATTATATCCATTGCTTGCATAACGAATCTAAGTAAATTGTATGATTTGAATCACGAATCCTATATTCAAACTTGGAAAAACTAAAATTGGAATCTATTTTTAATTTGAAAGTTGTGTAGAACTTCAAAATCAAATGTGTGATTAATGGTACACTTGTGATAATCAGCAACTAATTAATTTTTTTCAACCTAAATCATTATATATACAAAATGATGTTCATCAAATATACCCACTTCAAGTTTAAGCAGATGTATGATAAGATAAAGGCATATCAGTACTAATACCGTTGTTTATGAATTTGTCATCAGGGTTACAAACTGCTGAGGCAAGGGCAAAACAGTCACTATACAACTGGATGCCAACCACAGTATCATGTTTCAGAGACAATTAACATTGGATGAACAATCTAACTTTCTTATTATAATAATTAAAAATCGTTTGAAGGAACTTACATCCAAAAGACTTTGCTAACCTGGTGTAGAAAAGCATGTATGTCGTATTTAAAGATAAATAGCAACAGCAAAGGAGCAACAGTGGCATACACATTAAGTAGCAGAACCATATTAAGACGAATTATGATTGTTAAATAAGTTTTTAATCGTTCTTTTGATGGTTCTTATTTACGATGGTATCTCATAGTGAAATACGAATAAGGTATCAGTTAAATTGTCACACAGACGCATACTCATTAAGTAACAGAAATAATTTTCAATTATGATTAACACAGACATTGAGAAGCAGAATTGAGAAGCAGAAACTTACAGAAGAATCGAAGTCGCTGATTGTCGATGATGCTTGATTGTTGGAAGACGATGCAGTAAAGAATGATTCATATCGTATGAATCAAGTATATATTGAGCATAATACGATGAAATCGACATAATCCTCAAAATTAAATGTAAGCGATACGATTGATATGCATACCATAATAAGATGCTCTTAATCGGGCATGTAACAAAATTGAGTTAATGTGTAGAGCTGTTATGAGCAATAAAAAATGAAACAAAAACATAGCGTTATATGGATTGCATATTCCATTCGATATCTATCCATATTCCATTTTCCAAATTTCAAATTGCCATATTGCCGTATTTGCATATGTAATCTAATTTCCATATGTAATCTAATTTCCATATGTAATGCTCTGTGTAACGAAGTAGGGGTAAAACTGGGATTTAACATGGGCAGAAGAATGAATTTTTGATAGGACACGTGGACAACCGGTTATGTTTATTAGATAGGGAGATTTGTTTAGATCTAAAAAATTTACATATAATAATAATGTCATAAAAGCCACTTTAATATCCATTTATTTCATTTTTGACACTCATTTTTCAAATAACTCATCATTTGTATTTTTTTTCAGTTCCAGACTGATAGGTTCATTTTATTTACTTCTTTTATAGTTTATTTTAGCATAATTCATTCCAGTTCTAGTTAATCATTATGCATATTTTCCTTTTTCTTGTCTATATCCGAAACTTTCTAGTCTTTAAGTATAATTGCAAATTTTTAGAAGACTAATATGGAGCGAAGATGTCAGGGGATTACGAGAATCAGTTGGACTTGCAGATTGAGAAATCTTGGGCTTGGTAACTCTTGTGGAGATGATAAAAATGGGCTAGTTGATGAATGGAAGATTGAAGAAATATGGGCCTTGAACTTAAAATAGGATGGAAGTAATATTTGAGCTTACAAATTTGATTGATCGAGCGGTTATTCAAGCTATGGATGATTAAGAGGAGGTGAATTGGGCCGAATTTGAAGATATATTGAAGAATCATGGCCTTTAATCTGTTGGGGAGGAACTGGACTAGTGGGTGATGTGTTTTATATACAACCACTTAAAAGCTTTAAATTTATAACCTAATTATTCAATTCAGCTAAAACACAATAGACAGTGTATATAGTCGTGTAGCAATTTAGTATAGTAAGTAAGAGTTGAACACATGAAACGAAATTCTAATTAGGAAAATAATGTTAATAATTAAACTAAAAGAAATACTTAAATGGAGGGTTTTATCCGATTTTGTAAGTTCGGAAAAACTTAACTAAAATGATTTATTAAAAAATATTTCAAACTAAAGCAAACAACTTAGAAAACGATTTTTGATCAAGAATTAAAAGATACTTCTGTTTAGCTTCGAATTCCTCCTTTTTCCTACGGTTGATTTCAAAATAATGGATTAATTCCATTAGTTACCAAACAAAAAGTTAATAGTCATCATCATCAGACTAACTAGCATGAATTAATTCATGAACCTAACCCCAATGATCATGCAAGTTAAGAACACTAAATTGATTTTAAGAATAATTTGGACTCTGAATGATAAGATTTAGCAATTGCTTTTCTATGATCAAGTCAAGTAATAAAGCATATATTATGATCAAATAATTCCCTCTAACATAGTCAAGTGACTAGCTTACCACCAATACTAGGGTATGATCAACCTCTAGCTCTAGAAATTTAATGATCATAAACAACTACGAAAAACAAGTTCATGCAATCAATTGCAGTTTAACTACACAAAGCTTGAGGCAAGGCAATAAAGATAGAAACTTTAACAAGTTAGGTTAAGATTTATCAAACAATATTTAAAGCAAAAACTAACTTCATAGATCCATCAAATATGAAATTAACTCATAGTATTAGGAGTTCATCTAAACTAAATGAAAGCAAATGGTTATTAGCCCATGACTATGGAAAAATAACACATAATCAAATAACGAACTAGATTAAACATGATTAAATCTAGGCAAACCGAATGATTAATGGTGATTTGTAACGACCCAATTTAAAAAAAATAAACAAAACAAAATAAAGCCAGTCGTTACCCTTTTAATAATATAATTAAACTTTTCAAAAACATTCAACCACTTTTATAACATAATATTTCTAAAAGCATTGCGGATGCAGAAAATATCTCAGGTTTAAAACATACAATAGTAATTTCATATATCTTCAAGAGAATGTTACCTGGAGTCACATTACTCTACCATTATATATATCATTTACTTACACGTAGAACACATAACACATTTCACATAAAACATAACATAACATAACATAAACATTTGTACAACATACTATTGGTACCAAATCTACATCAGCAGGCTGATTCCCCCGAAGGGTCTATCTCAGACACTACCACATTGGGGACTAATCACTACCCCCGAAGGGTCTGTCATAATCATTCGTACCTCAACCACTTCCCCCGAAGGTTCTATCATGGTCAAGAACATATCCTTGTCCACTCTACCGGATTAGGGTATCCGTGATAATAACATAAAACAAGTAATGCGTACATAATAGGAGAGTTAGTGTAACTCACCTCTTTTGATAACTTGAAACACTCTAGTTGCAAAGAGGTAAATGAACCTCCTCCTTTCTGAACACCTATACAACAATTATAACATTTACTTAACTTATGCTTCATA